TGAAATCCCTGAGTTGATGCTATTTACTATACAAGAACATCGTTCAACCAGAGAAGCACATATAACAATCACCATCCTTTACATAAAACTCCAACCAGCACGTGTGCGCTCTCTCCTCCTCCCCCTCTCTAAAAGAAATAAAACAAAGTTAATAAGACTACCTTGAAAAGTGAATCTGTTTGACACCTTTTATTGCCTAATTATTTCAACTGAAGCTATAGCTATGTCCAATACCAGTAATTCCAATCTTCACCAGGGGTAACAAATTGCTAAATCAGAGTCACTTAAAACATTATCGTCTAGAGATGCTGACCAGAAATTGTGGCCAAGAATATTTGTAAGAAGACTAACAAGGCAAGACATATCCCACTGGCAGAGTAAAATGTGGTAAAACATCTGTCACTAACCTTGGATTTTTCACCTCCCTCTCTCATGGAGATAAGCCTGCACAGTTAGATCAGTGAATGCCACAGAACAAAATTCTGAGCTTCCTTGATTTAATTAAAGCTATAACACCATGAATCCTAGAGCTAACCAGAAGTCAAATTTAAAAGAAATGCTTGCATTTCCTGGTAAGGAACTGGAAGGATAATATTTATTGCTGCCTGTCTCCAGCTCAAAGAACTAAATAGGCAACTCTCTGTCTTGCAAGATGATAGAATTAAAGTTCAAAGGATGATCCCAAAAACAGGCAGGGCACAAAGCTTGTTCTTCCCTCCCTCCCCCACATCACTGAAAGACCATTTTCTCAGAGCAATCACCCTCGGAAGAATATGCTGTTCATAACTATTTCATTTCAATACCAACCTTAATGTTATTTACAAGGATGGAACAAGACTTCTGGGATTTAAGGTCAGGTAAGGCACTGCTGCAGACAATTAAAGAAAGCCATTTGTAGGCCTCAACTAGTATAAATGATAAGACAACTTGTGATAACTTAAGTCTAGAAGGCCCACGTGTATTCCTTGATTCTGTCCATGAATTGAACAAATTATATTATTGTTTTTTATAAACCCAGGTTAGCAAGGAAAAAGCACTAAACAGCTGGATTTCACTTTATCCTACAGCCCAAGAGCTTATTTCTTATGTATTCCGGCAAAATTGGTTCACCAATTGAATTTTTATAGTAATTATGATCTGTACTCCAAGATCTAAACCTAATTCTGCTAGCTAATTACATAATCTTCAGTAAGCCACTCAAACCAGTTCTTTAAAAAAAAAATCAAAACACTGTGTACTTGAGTCAGGTGTGCAATGAAAGGACCATACCTTTAAAACACATTTGGCATCTATGCTTCATCACATTAATTGCATGGGACAGTCAAACGCATTTTTGCACAACCTGCAAATTTCAGAAGCCAGGTTTCAAATTTGAGTCTCCAATTCCCTCTTTTTTTTTTTTTTAAACAAAGGAAGAAAAACCTTTCTAAGTTCAGTTAACATTGGCAGAGATATGAAAGAAACTACTATTTTAAATACCTGAATTAAAGTGTATGAGTATAAAACTCATGGACAATTGAAATGGGCATATTTCAATGTTGTTGACAGTCCCATAATTGGAAGAGTAGATCCAGTACAATAAGTAAGAGGTGGCCAAACTATGGCACATTGTTATGTAAGTGGTACAAAAATCTGCATATGGCCCAGGGCAAGTTGGGGAGGGGGACAGGCAGTGCAGCAACAGATAAGGCATGGAGCAGCAGATTGTACAAAGGAAAGGAATTAGTGGCACTTGGGAAAGGGGCAAGACTAATTTGTGGCATACTTGCCAAAAAGGTTAGCTGCCATTGCAATACATGACCAAGTTGTTTGAAATATCAGCTCTTCAGATTTCATCCTGAAATAGGGGAAAGAACTGATAAAATAAAAGGTTGAAACATTAAAGAATGAGACCAAGAAACCAAAAGGAAGGCTAACACACAGCTACATCTATGCAGATATTAGAAGGATTTCATAGGGACATCCCACACTTATCTAAGCCATTTTGAGATTGAAATTTAATAGAACTTAGCATATAACAAGGCATGGTTTTGATGTTAATACAGCATTGAATTACCTCCTGGTTTCTTCCAATGGGATCATCTCTCAAAATGAAAGAAATTAAGAAGCTTCATATAAGATTTCTATACGACTACAAACTCCCTATTGCTAACTGCTTCTGTCTAAAGAACATGCTGGTTAAACTTGACTATAGCTGCCTCAATTTTCTCAGTATAGGGTCACTCAGCTTCACATTTTAACAGGGAACAGAGAGAGGAGGGCAGAAGGGAGTCTCCAGCCATAACTTTCAGCAGCTTTTTATTTACCTTATTTGGGGAGAAAAAAAAACTTGCTAACCACTCCTTACAGATTACACAGCATTTCAAGAAAACACTTACCAACATCCAGTAACCAACAGAATTTTTGTCAT